CAAACAGATTGCGCAAACCTCTCTTCCACGATAAAGCAGTAACCTTACCACGGATCATATTTCCAGACGCTCCTGCTGCTATCCAGTTACGTGTAGTCTACCGCATTTCCACTTTCTACACGCCTGTTTAAAATATCAAAACTGCATCCACGAAGAAATCAAGAGCAGGCTAAATTCAGGGAATTCTTGCTGGCACTCAGTTCAGAACCTCCTGTCGTGTTCTCTGATATTTCAAAGCATAAAGGGCTGTCATGTGTATGAGTAACTAGAGACGGGGTTTGGTTAGGTGACTCGATTTATTGGCCACTTATACACACGACTAAACTAGAGCGGCATTGTTTATCTCCACACTTCACAAATCACTGCTGCAAATACGAAGTCTTCTCCAGCCTACAGTTTCTTCACTAGTCGTTTCCTGGTAACGGATTCTAACAGCGGAGATTCTTCAGCCTCCACGCTCACGCCATGTACGGCGATCGTCTCACAACTCAACTGACTCTATCAACTGACTAAGCTCTAACCTTGTCTTTGCTTATAACCTCTTGGCACGGACCACGTAGAAAACCCCGCCTCCGTTGTTGCGCGTCGATTCGTTGCTCCGGGAACGTGATTATCGAACCGCTTGCCCAGAAATGGGTCTCGCGGTCATTGCATAGCAACGTTTCTACAGGCCACAATACAAAACTATAACTTTGTTGTTTTGCGTGGGTGTGAAACTTGGTTTTTCAAATTAAATGAAGAACACAGAGTGAGGTTGTTTGTGAACAGAGCACTGAGGAGAATACGAGTATATCGGCATAAGGGGGAGGAAGTAATGGGACGGCGGAGAAACCCCTTTAACGACGAACTTCATAATTTGTAGTCTTCTTCAAATATTATTACAGTTAACAAATCAGGGAGATGGGCAATGCACGTAGCATGTATGACACAGACGTGCATACAGAGTTCTGGCAGTAAACCTAGAGGCAGGAACCACTAGGAGACCTAAGTTTACATGACAGAATAATGTTAAAATGGATCTTAAAAGGAATCGGGTTGGTGTGGACAGAATTCATGTGACTAAGGATAGAGAACAGTGGTGGGCTCTTGTGAAGACGGCAATAAACCTTCTGGTTCTGTAAATTTCTGTGAATTTCTTTGATCAGTTCCCAGCTGTTAAGTTTGCCAAGAAAGGCTCTGCTCGGTGGAGTCAATGTGACATCTCTTTATATGTGCGGTTATTAACCGGTAGGCCATGAACCAAACGGTGACGCTTCTTTAAAAATAAAAACGTGACAGTCTGAGATGGCACTTTTGACACTTTTGATCGTGTACAGTCGCAAAAACGATTCTCGGAAGAATTAATCACCTATACTTTCCTTTAATACGGCACAGATCATATGAAAAACGACGCCTTTAATAATTATTATATTGTTGCGTATTCGTTGCCGAGGTAACGTTTTTCACCGAACCGTTGTCTAGCAACGACCGTGAGATACACATGTAGACACAGAATGATGGAAGGGATTTAAGATGTATGCTGCTGAGATGGGCTCAGGTGCCATACAAATTGTGGCGTATAGACCCGTTGCTAAACGGTGACTGTAGACAACAACCGTTTCTGGACAACGGCTCGGCAAACGCGTTCCAGCTACAACGAATACTCATGCAACAATAGAGTTACTGTCGGAAATGGGATGTTTCTTCGTGGTCCGTTCCGAAATGTTGTTAGGCGGAGCCTGGCCTGACAGAGGCACTGTATATATTTTATACATTTATTAACATGTTTAACGTGTAAAATGTAAATATCCTTTACATTACGACAAATGACTTACTACTGCAGACAATGACTCTAACAAAAGACAGGCCCGTCCTCTCGTCAGAGAGGGCGCCCCACAATAACGAGATACTAACTGTCAAACAGTAATGAAATATCTGGTCAATAGCCCCAGATGGGGCTCCACATCAAATTAAGTCCCATTGTGACTTCGACTTTCACTTTGAGTTGTTAGGCGGTCCTGTACGGGAGGTTGCGAAGATAGGACCTGAGCGCGTGAAGCCGAAGAATATACACCGTTTAGAAGCCGTTGCTACGGAAAGTCTAGTGAAGACACTGCAAGCTGGAAAAGGCTTAGTGGCTGCTGTGGTGATTTGTGAATTTAGGAGATTCACGGTGGCGCTGTAGTTACTTGTAGTTCGGAGTCGTGTGTATAAGTGGTCAATAAATTGTGCCACCAACCCAAAACCCGTCTGCAGTCATTCATACACGTGATAATATCAAGTTTCGGGCATTTAAAAGTTAATAGGGGGATACACATGCCTACTTCACTTTTTAAAAATTAGGAAAGCAGGCTAAGAATACTCGTAAGAGGTCACCAGAGAAGAGACGTTGGGAAGCAATGCCCTGTACCTTCAATTAGCATTCCAACCCTCATTGGGTGCCAAACTGCAACACCAAACCCAGAGAATGTATTTCAATGTCTTTCCTCCTCTTAGCACCAATTTCACTGCCATATGCAACCCTAGTTGTATTTCTGTCTTCGCATTTCTTTGAAAATATCTTTAAATAACTCAGGCAGTTTGTTGCTGGCTTTCCATCATGGAAGCCAACCAGCCTTAAATTCCATGTCAGGTTGCATGGGATTTGTGATGGACAAAGTGACCTCAGTCTTCCCTGCAAATTCTTATTCTGCCAAGTGCTCCACATTCATTTACCATCCTATCAGTTTCTATATAGGCTATATACTGACACCATTGTTAGATAATGTAAAGGTAGAAAAGGTAAAGTTATCCCTGTAACTGGCTCTGGAGACCCATACGGTTGTGAGACATCAAGGGTCTCAAATTTTCTAGACAATTGGCAAACAGATGGCAGCGAGGTTGTCAGCCTTACATGCTGGCCACCCCTTAGCCCCAGGAAGATTCCTCACAGATTTGTTAAGAGGTTAGGTCGACACCAGGGCCTTAGTGTGGCTGGAAGGATTAGGTCAATTGAGAACTCCAATGTCCTCATTGGTAACTGAACCCATAATCTTCTGGCTCATGGCATAGTGCCCCAACTAACTACACTACCACTTGCCTCTAGTGTTACATAACAAACTTAAAAATATATATAACTCAAGTCTAGTTTATTATATTTCTGAATATTTTCTTCCATAACTATGTTCATTTTATGGCCGCGCCATAGCTCAAGCCGTTAGGCGCTGGCTTCCCACCACGGCAGCCCGGGTTTGTGGTGGACAGTGGCAGGTTTTCTCAGAGTATTTCGGTTTCCCCTGCCGATCTTCATTCCGCCAATTGCTCCACAATCACCCTCACCTATCATCTGGGGCTGGTACAATAGGCCAGAATTGGCTGCAGTACAAGGGACTTAGTTCCACCCCACTAGCAATAAAAAAGAATGTTCATTTTATACACTGACAAGTGGAAGTACCCATTCTTCCCCTGGGGTATAGCTGCTTTCCTTGTCAATATGACATTAGACAGTGGCCAAAAATCTCTGAGGAGGCGTAACACTCAAATTAAGAAACAAACATGTAATTAAAACAACAGCCTGGGAGTCTGGATTTGAATCATACCCAAGAACGCTACTTCTAACATTGCACATTGCTGAGGCTATGGCTATCGTACATACTGGCAAGACACTCCGAGTGTCCTCTATTAGGTCCATGATAGGTAAAGGGAAAATTTTTTGACTGACATGCTACACTGGAAAACCAAGCAATTGGGGCTTATGTCATAAGAGTATCTCTGTCCTACAGTTACAATTTAATGATATTTAGTATTTATAACAAATGTCACAAAATTAAGAAGACACAAACAACATGAAGCCAACAATTATATTCAAATTTTGTAAATACAGTAACACAATGGTACAACTATAGACCATATACACTACTCATACATTTACAGTAACAAATAACATACATCACTTGACACATACCATAAAACTTAAGGAATGAAAACCTCCTGAATTGTACAACATACAACATCTATGATTCTGATGCCTGATGTAATTACATACATTTATAGTTTTATGCTAATGTTACGAGAGTTTCCCTCCAAATTTAATTAATATTTTGTGGCATGTCCTCAGAATGCCAGGATTGTGAAGCCAGAAGAGACATACATTGCTGGGGAATGGCTCTGCAAACACGCCCGTTGTTTGGCAATGGCTCGGTACACGTCACATGATGGCAGCCATCCATGCTTGTATGCAATAATCAAAGAACTGTTGAAGTGGTGTTTTCTGTGTGGTCTGCAGGAGCAATGACTCTACCATTCTCCACTACAGCAGCTGCAAGAAAATGTGTCTTCTGTGTGGTCCGTCCAGAGGTTTCCCTGAGTCATCGGATGGTAAAACATGGTCATAAGTCCTGTGAGACTTAGAACCAAGAATCACTGTGCCAGCAGGGACCAGCTGCAATTTGGCAGTCAGTCAAGCCAATGAGTCTTGAGTCTGCAGTTAGGGAATGCAATTCTTGAACCATAAGGGCATGAGAAATAACCCCTGTTAGAGGGCTGTAATCAGGCAGTGACCAGTGGAGGCTGTAACAAGCTCAGAAAACTAGTTAGTGTAGGTTATTGTGATTTGTGCAACATTATAGTTACTTGTAATTCTGAGGTGTAAGTGTGCAATAAATCAAATCACCAATACAAACCCCATGCTAGTCACTTAACACTGCTAATTCAGCAAGTGCTATAATGATTTTTGTTGAGCGAGTAAACAACTGGACCCAGATGATGCTCCTCTTGAGGAGAGCAGTTTGCTGAACAACTGCATCAAATGAAGCACAGTACAGTACAGCGGAGAAATCAAATGCTTCCAAGGGCTGGAACAGGGGCCGCACCATAGCTCAAGCGGTTAGTTGCTGGCTTCCCAGCGCGGCGGCCCGGGTTCAATCCTGGGTCTGGTCAAATGGAATTTGTGGTGGACAAAGTGGCGCTGGGGCAGGTTTTCTCTGAGTATTTCGGTTTCCCCTGCTAATCTCCATTCCACCAACTGCTCCACGATCACCTTCACCTATCATCAGAGGCTAGTACAATAGGCCAGAAGTGGCCGCAGTACAAGGGCCTTAGTCCCACCACCCTAAAAAAAGGGGGAGGGGGCTGGAACAGATAGTATATTCAGCTGAAGTACTGAACTGTAAACATCAATGAAATGTTTCAACTTAATCTTGGCACAACAACTCTTCTTGGCATTGTTAATTTCAGCTCAAGTGCTTCAAGTGACGTATTGGCCAAAGTTCAATCATTCCTGTAATCACATATGCTTCTTGTTGACTATGTGTCTCAGTAGCGTGTGAGAACAACCGGAAAGTTTTCTGTGATGAGATGATCATCTTGAAATATGACCACAATGTTTACTTCAAATTCTGAAAATAACATACAAACACACATTATGATTTGTGTTCTGAAAGTATTAATAGTATTAATAACTATTAATAGGTAGATTAAAAGGTTTAGGTTTTGTGTAAACCCAAATGTTTCCACAGAAGTGGTACAATGGACATGACTATTATTTTGTACACTATCCATTATCGTCATCATCGTAGTTGCCGCCGCCGCTGCCAGCATCATCATCCTCATCCAGTAACTGAGACTAACCATTTCTACCTGGAGTAACTTGGGCAGGAACCTTGTCTCCCTTACGCCTGATGCTGGATCCACATTCGGATTCCAAAACAATGCGCATCAAAAGCCCCAACACACCAGACAGCGTCCAAAATTACTGATCTTCCACAGAAAATTGACTCTGTTAACATCAAATGTCACTGGTTCCACTGCATCACATGCATTAAAGGCTATTCACTTTAAAGTTTTGCACATTACATCACGAGCGAGTACTTATTGAACATATACAGTTATTGCATATTCTGCAGATTGTGTATAATAAATATGAAAAAAAAAAAATGTTTTGACCAGTATGGTCATCATCAGATGTTTAAAATCATACTTGAGAAAACTGCTGTGCTTCTGTTATGGTGGCTCCGGCTATCAATTAACAAGTTTTACAGACAGATGTGTTGCACTTGAGACGCTGTGCAGATGGATGCTACACTGTAATATTGACTCCATTAACTTATGGCATTCATTCTAATGTTCCATTTATGCTCGTCTTCAGTTGTGACATTAATTCAAGTCTGTGCAGGCCACTGCTTAGCAACGAACACTTTATTTCTACTTACCTACTTTAAAATTGCTTGTAGACAGAGTCGGGCAGGTGAACAACCGAGGGAAGATCATATAAATAGGAATAGCCATTCCACAAGGCACATTCCCTTCACCAATTTGAATGTTTTGTATTTCTGTGGCTGAAACAGGGAGAACACAGGTTCACGAGTCTCATTTTAAATTTTCAGGACACAGATGACAACATAAGTATCTACTTGTAATGCAGTGGTGCCAGGACAGTGTAGTTCATATAGCGACAGGCTATAGGCTGGATGACCAAGGGGTCGGAGTTTGCATCCTGGTAGGGTCAAGAATTTTCTCTTCTCCATGTCTTTCAGACTGGCTCTAGGGCCCACCCAGCGTCGTACCCAATGGGTACCAGGAGCTCTTTCCCCAGGGTTAAAGCGGCAGGGGCGTGAAGCCGACCACTCACCTCCAATTAGTACCGGGGTCAAGAAAATGTAGATCTATACATCCACTCACCCATACGCCTTCATGGTGTAGTGCTTAATTAGTTAAGCACAGGGACAACTTTACCATACAGCATATCTCTCAACACTACAGAAGTAGCCAACAGTGAGAAGGTTAAACTGAAGCATCTTTCAGTAGCCTTGATTTGCTTTTCATAACTATCCAATGTACATTTCAGAAACAGATTTTTGTGACACACTGCCCTTCATTATATCGGTGTATATAAAACACACTGACAAGATAATCATCACTAAGATTACAGTCTTCTCGGCATAGGATGCCAGTAGATGCAATCCTACTTTGTATAGTACTGTGAAATATGTGGTTCTCACAGTAGTGACAGTCTTCTCAGATAGGTGTCAAGGTTTCAGGTCAACTTGCTGCCTGAGTCTACAGGACAGAAGACATGCTGACCGTGATCTTAATATTCACGGCCATGGAACCTCTTATCTCATAACTGTCAGTGTTTTCAAGATTTAATAAAATCCTGCATCTTCGAAAAGCTAATGCAGTGTGACCCCACAATACAGATGTCCAAGTTATGGAATGTCACCCTTATGGAAATTATAAAGCATGACAATGAGATTCAAGACACAGACAATAAATTCACCATTATGGAAATTCTGAATAAAACCATTTTTTTTAACAAATTATGCTTCCTTCCTCTTGAACAGGGGTCTCCAAACTACAGCCCACGGGCCATAGTTTGGGGACCCTTGCTCTTAAAAATTGAACAGCCATAAGTGAACAGCATTTACCTTTCAGCAAAAGTTGTCCCTGTGCTCAATGAATTTAAGCACTATGCCGTGAAGGCGTATGGGGGAGTGGATGTATAGATACGCATCTTCTTGACCTCAGCACTAGCTGGAGGTGAGTAGCCAGCTTCACAACCCGGCCTCTTTACTACCATCCTGTGGGGAAAAAGCCCTCAGTACCCACTGGATGCGAGGCTGGGTGGACCCCAGAGCCAGTCTGGATGATTTGGAGAAAATTCTTGACCCTACTAGGACTTGAACTCCGACCCCTTAGTTGTCCAGCCCATAGGCTGCCGCGATACCGAGTATGCTACCCAAATTCATCTTTATCGTCTGGTAATAAGGGACTTTAAGTCTCCAACTTCTACACATCTGGTGGCCACATTAACTCATGAATATTCACAGCCAGCCACAACAATTACGTGTATACTTGCAGCACAGAAGTGGTTTATTTCTAGTTTCATGTCTGTTATCAGTTATGAAAAACTTCATCACACTTTATACAGCCTAAAGGACGTTTAAATGCTATTTCTACTAATAATGTCAGGTGTCAGTGACGAGAAACGGGTTTCACACTGATAATGGAATTACACTATTAAAACAGTTTCTAGCCCTCACAAGCTAGACTCTGCAGTCTGCCTCATCTTCACATACTCATTTCCTGGGTTATGGTCTCCAATAACAGGGACTCAACCTAACGTTTTCAGATTTTCATGCTTGATGGCTCTCTGTCACTGGTCCTCACCAGCACAGTCATTCTTAGTTCTTGGTCCAACAGAACTCATCACCGTATTTTTCTGTCTTGCTGGTTTATTTTATATAGCTTCAATATGGTCTGATAATTGTGTATTTGTTTTGGTTAAAAAACGCTTTAGTGAGCTGCTCCATAGCAATGGATGCCCCATGTCTCCCGTCTGACACCAATATCTGATTTCTTGGCATCATGTCTCAATACATGGTGACATTTTGATTTTGTGATCCCAGATTTTACATTTCTTGCTAATTTACGCATGTTCTGCATGGACTCAGCCAAATGCCCACAACAACGTTAAACTTTACGTTTTCCTTGAATCTGCACTTCAGTTTCCCAGTCCTGACTACAAAAATTTACCTGGTTACCAGAATCTCCTATTTGAAGCAATAGACTTCTTTCCCTGTCAGCAGCTGCAAATGGTTGTCTAAACACACACACACAACCAATTTGCTGACACACAGCTGCAAATGATTCTTGTGCACAATGTGACTTAACTAAGACCTACTGCACAAGAGGGGACTCTTTTGACTGCTGTAGTTCAAGGAGCTCAAGCTCTGAACCTGAGTGTAACTCAACGACAGCAGTTTGTCTGTTCCAAAATATGACCACTGTGACACAAGGAGTGTTTCCTCATAAGCAAGACGCTCAACAGACACTCACCCAGTCTGTCAGTGCCTATGTGAATTCACTCTGTAGAAAGTTGTCCCTATGCTTAACTAATTAAGCATTACACCCTGAAGGTGTAAGGGGGAGTGGATGTATAAATCCACATTTTCTTGACCTTGTCAGTAGCTGGAGGTAAGTGGTCAATATAACGTCCCTGCTGCTTAACCCCCGGGGAGAGCCCACCCATACCCATTGGATAGGAGGCTGCGTGGGTCCCAGAGCCAATCTGGTCGATGTGGAGAAAAGAATATTCTTCACCCTACCAGGAATCAAACTCCTGACCCCTCGGTCGTCCACCCTGTAGCCAGTCACTATAGTCACTACACTACACTTTACAGCAAGAGGGTGAAAGATGACTAATAAAGGAAAATGCAAACATTTTTCAGCAAGTGATAAAATAAATACTGTCGTGTGTTGCCTATGTAATGCTTAGACAGACTGTACACACCACAAGGACAAGGGCTTACACCTCACTGCTCATCCACGAATAGTCAACTTTTTGGCTTCCAATGGCTGGGTCGACAGATTTAAGAAGAGATGCAACAACGTTTACAGAACTCTTATCAGGTGAGAGCAGGAGCGCTGATCCAGAAACTTCAGGAGACTGGAAAAATTATGACTTGCAAGAAAATGAACGTTATGACCTATGTAACATCTACAATGCCAATGAGAGCACCCATTTTTCAGCCTCAAACCGGGCAAAATCTTCACTCTCTCAGATGTTTGCCACGGTGGTATAATATCTAAACAGTGGGTTACTGTACCCCGTGCATGTGACACTGATGCTAGTGATAAACTGCCACTTCTTGTAAACAGAAGTCCACGTTGCTTCAAGGGTGTGTCAGGAGACTAAATACGAAGCTCATACATATTCTTGGATGACCACCAAAATATCTGATCATTACCTCACACATCGAGAGAGAAAAGATGGTGCTAAAAATTGCAAAATCTTGCTTTTCTTTGATCAGTGTGCTGCCCAACCAGAGAACACCAGATTTCTCAGCAACAACAAAGCTGTATTTGTCCCAGCTAACTGTACCAGCCAGCTACAGCCTGTATACAGTGTGTTTCATAACTTTAGGGCATAACTGCAGGATGTGATTTCCTACATCTTTGTGATAAAAAAAGTTCATATAAACATGTGGCCGATTTTGGATGGTTACGGAGTCATGACCATTTCAAACTCAGAAGAGAAGGTAACGATTACTGATAATAAATGGAACAAAATAATAAACCAGCATAATACATGATACATTTAAAGTATGAATGTAAAGTTAACTTCGTGAAATTACCTTTACTTTGAATTGATTGGTGCTTAAAGCTGATTTTCGAAAATGCCACTGCCAGCTGCAACACAGACTGCTGTTCTGTTGTGAACCATGCGGGTAGCACATAGCAGCTTCAGCTGACTGTTTCTTATGTGATCAGCAGCGTCCAGTATGCAACCGAGCAAAGCATCTCGCGTTGCCACCTTCACATTGTAAACCAGTTCTTTCATCCATCCCCACACAATAATCCAGTGGGCTTAAGTCTGGAGGCCTGGCTGGCAATTCTTTACGTACTCGTATGTAGTCTGCGGTGTACCATACTAACAATGCCTTCTTTGTTGGCGCCTTCATTAACACCACACTTGCTTGCAATACGAACACCGGGAAGTCTACCGGTATCTCACAATGCCTGGTAAACTCCAGTGAACACTCTCTGGTTTGGTATTCTACGATTCGGAAACTGTTGCTGATATTCAGCTACGGCAAGAACTGAGTTACTGTCACAAAACCCATACACATAAATCATATCTGCATACTCCTCAAATGAAAATGTAAATGGCATCGTGAACGTAACAGACTTACTGAGATGAGAACTGTTCTGAACGCCAGTAGCCGCCACACTAGATATGGCCAGACATACCAACCCACCACGCCTTAGGTACCTCTCAAGTGTCAAGATAACGAGAACGCTCTGTCTGTAACTGGCTAAAAATAGCGACCCGTCAGATGATATAGAGGCGGTTCACATGAGGGCGTGCACAGGAATGAAAAAGCGTAACCGTCCAAAATCGGACACATGTTTATATGAACTTTTTTGATCACAAAGGCCTAGGAAATCACCTCCTCCAGTTATGCCCTAAAGTCGTAGAACACCTGTATTTGCATGCCATCAAGTGCCATTAGAGGAAGTAGGTAATTCAGAAGACTGCAGCCTTGACAGATGCTGGACTGCTCCAAGATGCTGCGTTGTCTGCATTGCACTTAATGGCAGAAGCCAGGAGACTGATAACACCCGCTATAACCAAGAACTGTTTTGTGAAGTGTGGCCTCTCGATTGATCATGTCGCCAGTGATGATAACAGCGCAGTGAAACTCACTGAAGATGAAGTGGAAGACTGGCACAGTTCACAACCTCTCGGTGTGCATCTGAGGACTACCCAACATGCCAGTGCTCTTGAGATCTGTCGAGTCTGATGTGTCAACCAGATGTCAGATCAGGATCTGATTAAGAAGAGGAGGACAAAGATGCAGAATATAACACAACATTCTTGAACAATATTACTGTAATGTGCAACAAATTCAAAATGAATTATACAGACTGAGAGTTCTAGAGAAAAGAAAAACAAAAGACCATTACTGCATCGTTAAAGAAATCATGTAACTAGGTACACACCGTATTTGTCAGTCTGTGAAGGCAAACAGACCATGAACAACTCTTTATTAAGACCATCACAACACGACAATTAGCAAAGCTTATTTTGCCTTGAACACTGTATTGTTGTGTTGTGATGAACTGAATAAAGAGTTGTATATAATAACACAATAGGATGCATGAAATGAAAAATAATAATAATAAAAAAAAAAGACTATGAACACTTTCTCATCCCTACCATTCATCTCATCTAACTGAAGCAGCTGACAAAGCATCATAAAATAGACCAAGAACCATATTTGTGTCTAAATTTAGAGTGTTAAGTGTTCAGACATGTATTTCTTAAATGATCTAAGTTATGGTATAAAGAAAACCAATTTTATTTTTCTTTTCCGATTTTACACATTCCTCAAGTGGCCGGGGCATGAAGCTGGCCACTCACCCCCATTTAGTGCCAAGGTCAAGAAAATGTGGATCTATACATCCATATGACATATTCCACACCCTACAGTCATTTTGACTAACTTTGGATCCGTGGAATGCAATGCAATGTAATGTAATATGCCTTCATGGCATAGTGCTTAATTAGTTAAGCGCAGGGACAAATTTACCTTTGCCTTTGCTCAGATGCAGAGAAATGTTAGGTATAACTTGTCAAAGCTCGAAACAGTTGAAACATACACTGAATCTGCGAGCACTGAGGCCCTAACAGCAGTGACTACAAAGTTCACTGCATCCTGGGATGTGGCATCACATTGTCCGAAAGATGTTAACCGCTGTTTCAGGCAGAAAGTTGCCTCCATTTTCAGGTTAGGAGAACAGTGGGGGATGGAAGAGGAGGAGGCAACTTGTTCTCCCAAAATGTCAGTACACATCTACCAATCTATATAGCACTGATCCCAAAAGAAAATAATCTTCATGTTTTGCATTTCTTCTCTTTCCGTTTTGTTTTGAATGTAAATTCAAAATCCAGCTTTTATAGAAGATTGGTTGGTATAGCAGATGGCAGTGATATGATCATGTATGTGCAAATTCACATGCAAATATTTCTTTATTTATCTCTGTGGGTTACTCAATGACACTTTTCACTATCAAGACTATACAGCATCAGGAGGTAAGATGACCAATGAATTGGAAATGATCTGAAAGGAAGTAATCGTGATACTTGTCTGGAGGTTCTGAGGAAAACCACAAAAACCCCATTCACGAAAGCCAGTGTTCTGAGCTGGATTTGAACCTACACACCTCACAAGTACAAGTCTAGAGTGTTACCTCTGCAAAACCTGTTCGGTGAGATGCAAGTAAGTTTCATGCCACTTTCCTTCCCACAACAACACCACCTGGGACATTGTGACTCTTAGTATACTAAGAATGAATCCTGCAACTTCTGTAGCAGGAAGATTAATCCAGTACATATAGTGTACATAAAACAGATTAAATAAAGAGACACATTTTGGTTTACCATCTCTCGCATAGCCTTCAGCACAGCCACAAGTTTCCACACGAACCAACTGCAGTTCCACAGACTTTATAGGAACTTCACAGTGCTCCACAATCAACTGCAAGAACGAAACCAAACATTGATCAGTACAATATATGTACATAAAACACTAAACTCAAAAAGAGCAAAAAGGTCTTGTGAACAATAATTTTGTGAAACCATAAACTACTATATAACAGGCATTGTGCCCCACAAGTTGTTGTATGACCGAATATGCAACAGACACTTCAATATAAAAAAAGTCTGATGTTACGAGAGCATTAAGCCATTCACAATATCAAACTTTTCTGAGGTGATGAGTGTGCCAAATATAAAAAAAGGGGTAAAACTTTCTGACTACAGTACAGTATGGTCAGAAATATCTTAATCAGATATCAGTATAATATTGTGACATGACGCCCGAAAGCCGGAATAGTGAAGTCAGAATAGGTCATTTCCAGGCAACGACTTGGTAAACATATACCCGCGACAACGAATACACAAGCAGCAATATGGTAGCTTCTGTTGCTATGCAACAGTGAAGTAAATATGCCTTGTCAACAACAGAGGCTACTTTCTGCGTTTGTCCGCATCAATGAGTTATCTTGAAGACAACTGCTGCTACAGTGCAGTTGAGAGTTCAGTTGTGGAGTGTTAACCAGCAGACAATGGACACTAAAGGATCTCCATTACTAAGATTGGAAACATCTAGTGAAAACAATACAGAGGAGTAGCCATTGTGGAGAGTGGTTACCAAGTAAAAACTGGTGAAAGCAGAGTGTGGAGTGATTTGTAGTTTGCAAATCAGCAATACTGTAATAAATTTCATTGGGTGCATCCTGTAGTGTTATTATATAAAATTCTTTACTGGAATCTGCCATAACACAACAACGAATCGGTCAAGGTCAACATCACCTTAGCTACATGCTTTGGCTTTTAAAGCCATCATCAGGCAAACACATGGTTTTTACACTCACACGCTATTGAACTGCATTTGAGTATGACAGTAGAGCTGGATACTTATAGTGTAACATAGTTGTCAAGTATCCAGCTCTACTGTCACAATGAAATGCAGATCAATAGTGTGTGAATGCAGTAATCTTGTATTTGCCTGATGATGGCTTTAAAAGTCAAAACATGTAGGTAAGGTGACGTTGAAACTTGACCGTTTCATTGTTGTGTTATGATGGATTCCAATAAAGAATTTTGGTGTAATAATTATTTGTAGTTACAACCTGTAAGTGGCCAATAGATCTATTCACCCATCCAAACCCCATCTATAGTCACTAATATATGTGACAATATCACAGAAGACCATGATATAGCAAAGAAGTCACTTGGAACTTGTTGGAAAACTGAGAAAAGTGAATATAACCTTTGTGAATTTATGTATTCTTGGTGATACCAGTCACCATAAAAACACTGCAAATATGTGCTTATGGGCGTGAATGTGATAATCAGTCAGTACATGTAATGTGGATTCAGCATATTATCTGCAAGGTACAGACCTCATTTTTAAACATTATTTAAATTAATCCTATACTTTAAAACTTTAATACTGATCTAAGGAAACAAACGTTATAAAGAAGAAACAATTTACATTTATGAAGCAGATTTCAGCATTTGCTGACCCTGTCTGTAACACCTTATGCAACAGATGGAATGAGAGGTCAAACAAACAAGTCAAAACCTGAACATGAGCAAAACGGAATTTGAATTATAGGAAGCCAGAACAAAATAAATAGAATTAAAACATTTAGAGGCTGAGGGGGAAATGGTTACTAATATTTGGAATTAATTGCTGCTTCCATCTTCAGGACAGGAAAAGAAACATTGGTGACCATTGACTAGACTATAGGGCTTTATATCCCAAAAGATCACAGTTGTAACCCCTAAAGTTGGTTTTTACATCAGCCATACATAACTGCTGAAGTGGTATTTAAATTACAGTGTGGCTCATACACACAGTTCAAAATCTCCCACATTCCATAAACTGTTGAAGAGACTTAAATTTTCATAGACAAATTAGTAACAGTACAAGCATCCCTGTACTTTGACCATTTTCATACTAGTTGGTCTGAAACATGTCTTGAACTAAAGCAAGCAACCTTGTTTGCTGACTAACAAGTATACCACTGTCAATTGAAAGAAATAAACATTTCCTGCCTACGTATTTCAATTCTTGGATGAAGTAATAAAGAGATGGCGGGATGAATCATGCCCTGGGTAATATGTGGCGGTACGGGAGCAGGCCACACCAGTCTGAAAGCAAGCCTAAACAGATTTAACTTTGTGTCCATAGCTGAATGTGAATGTTGTGATGGGCTGCAAATGGAGGAACATAGCTTCTGGGGCTGTAAACTGTACGAGGACCAATGGGCAACAATGATGGACGTCTTGTCTGAGAACGGCAAAAAAGAATACCCAAAGTCAGTCATAGAGCTCTTAAGGCTAGAGGGAAAAAGATTTGTGCAAAGGCAACCATTACTTCGTAAACAAAATTCCTAAAAATAAAGGAAAAGGAAAAGAAAAACAGGCGTAAATGTACAGTGTATTAATACCATACTCTTAGAGTTAAGTGATATATTGTCACGTGTTGGGTGTATAACGTGACAAATAACTTCACGCCTTATTGGATATAGCGAATTTATTGCACATTCGCTCTTACAATCACACAATTTACAGATCCACAATTACTGCCTTTGGCAGTATCATAAATACTACACTGCAAATGCTGGTTGACTGCCCGGCTGACTCTTAACTCACAGCTTGAGAACTAAAACTGTGAATAATCTTCGCTGCTCCTTATTTAGCCTCATTCTGGACAGCACAGAAAACAGCCACGTAATCGGCACCACTGTTGTCTGCCGCCGTGGTAGCTGATAGCCTAGCAACACTGTTGCTAGTAACTATAGTAACTACTGTTGGGAGTTGTTTACCGCTACTTAGCAACTGCAGCGTCCCGTGTTACGTCACCGCTGTTGACTCCCGTTGCATAGCAACCAGTATGCTGGGACGCAGCTAACTTCGGCTCCACTCGGCGCGTCACGGTTGGCGGGGGGGGGGGCCTTCATCCATAGCGCAACATGTCACAATATTAAAAAATCGCAGGGTGACAGCTATGATAGAATATGATGTTTATATGGCTGTGTGACAGGGGGCCAGATGGACACTGCCTAGGCAATTTTTTTTTTCAAATTAATATATATATTTTTTTTCTTCAAAATAAAAACATATATGTTGCAATTCATATAATTTCTATATCTCCCAACAGACAGCAGTGGTGAAGATATTTTTAAGATGCTGCAGACAGCGCACCCATACACACATAGCTGCAGTGGTGGTACAAAATAGAACAGTGCATATTAGTATGGCGAACTCCCTTGTGAAGTTAAAATTCAGCACGGTTAGAATCTGACATCTTACAGTTATAATAATTCTTTCTATATTAATAATGTAAGTTTATGCTCTAAGAAAAACAGTGATGGTATAATTGTGGTAGAGACAACCAAGAACTTGCAGTAAATGCCTGCATCAGAGTTTACCTGCGAGACAGACAGAGGTTAAGTTTTGTTTAAAAGTAAAAATTTTAACATTTACCTCGAATATCTGCAACTGTGAATTTGCAAATGTGAAATTCTGTACCCAACGTCCATAATGCAGGGGTGAATTGCACTTGGAAAATTAGAATCAATAAATATTTAATGTATAACCATGAGAACTCATACCTCTCCAGTGAATGGTTTGGTGACGCAACACATTGTTGAGTCCAAGTGACCTGTCACCAGGAACCGTGGAATACGACCTTTATCTTTGACATTATGCAGAGATTCTGGGGTGATGGAAAAGTTAACTGGGTGTGGTACAGCCTTCTCATATGACGAAGCCTGTAAAATAATATAATCATTTTAACTCCAACATAAGTGACTGATGAACTAAAACTTGGAATTGTTTCAGTGCTGAAGGAAGAAAATGGCGAGCAAGTGGGATGAAAGGTGACTCAGCAGCTATGGCTACTTGCACCTGTGTGAAAGTAAACAAAATGAACTGTACAACATTCTGACTATAGTACGTATAGGTATAAAGGCAAATGAAGATACATGTGCCATTAAAAGCTGATAATAAGAGGCTGCATATGGGGCAGAAAAACCTTAAAAATGAAATAAAGAAAAATAATATTTCTGAAATAGCACAATAAAATAAAGTCAACGCAATAACTTCAATCTGGGAGCAAGTGGAAACAGAAACAAGATGCATGCAGGCTGATGCATATTTAAAATAGTAACAAGGGGAAAGTTACTCCAGCAGAAGAATAAAACAGAGTCAATTAAAAAGCTCTGTCCACCCTTACACCATGAAGGAACTTCACAACATTATGCATGCTTTGGTGATCAGCTCCTCAGATGTCCCACAACTCAACATAAAGATGGATGTCTGGCATCCTCAGGCATAATGTGGGAATTCCAGCAGGATGTGTGAAAGGGGCACTGCACACTGCTAACAAAAAGATGCCGGGTCACCTCTTTAACAAGTGGCTATGTGAAAGACAAGGTGACCAATACAAAGCCAGAAGAAACAAATTAAATTCAAAATGGTTTCATGGAACAGTAACAACAGCAACAGCCAATCCAAAAAACTGGATACAAAATTTCTGCCAAGGGGGGAGAGAGAGAGAAAAAAAAGTAAAGCTATCCTTGTAACAGGCCATGGAGGCCCGTAGGCTCGTGAGATGTTGAGGTTCCCACATTTTTTATAGACAATCGGCTTACAGATGGCAGTGAGGTTTAGCCTTGTGTGTTGGCTGGCCATCCTTTTCCCCAGGAAGATCCCTGGTGCTCATTTCTAACAGAATTGAAAATTAAACTTTCAAAAAGGAAGTTGGAATTGAGAATCTGTTAACATAGCTAGAAGAGAAACAATTATGAGTTTTGACATGTAAAAAGACTGGACAGAACAAGGGTACTGAGAAAGCAATCAGAATAAATATATAAAGGAAAGAGATGTATGGGATGACCCAGAATAAGATAGTTCGGAAACTGCTGGCAGGACTGTGAGATGAAAGGGGAGACTGCAGGTTCTGCATCAAATGATGTAAATGACACTATGCACCATCATGTCTGTAAGCATGGACATAATGAATAAATTTCGTGTGCAGTGTGCAGGCATCTCCATACCAAATTTCACATGCCTAATTCCAAATCAACCTGATAGCTACAGTAAAGTTCTGAATTGACTATATGCTGTTATGTTACATTCTGCAAAAAGAAGTCTGCATTTTGTTTTCAAGAAATTCGGAACTGAAGGAAGAAGGAAATGTAACAAACACTAAAAGGATTTGTTTAAACAATATATACTGAATGCTGCAGGGCATTCCACAAAATCACATGCAAATGGCTAATGCATAAGTTGGCAAGCAATTTTCTGACAGCACCCCTGCTAGAGGAGACTAATTTGACTAACAGACATGGCTTTCAGTCCTTACAGAAGGAAAATCACGAAATGTTGTACGTATACATGCCCTTTCCATATCATCCCCCTCTATTTGATGATTCTAACAATATGTGGTAAAGAATGAAAATTATGAAGCTCACCGAGGAGTAGGGACAGCTCAATCAGTATAGCAACAAGTTACAACCTGGATGGCTGGGGTTCCTTCCCCAGAAGGAGCAAGACACTTTTCTCTCTTCTCCACAATGTCCAGAGCAACTATGGAGCCCACCCTGTCTCATATCCAATGTGTACTGGGTGGTCTTTTCCTGGGGGTAAAGGCAACAGGGCCTAGTGCCTCCACTCACCCGTAAAGTCTTCATGGGGTAGTGATTAACTTAATTAGCATATGGACAGCTTTACCTTTATGAAACTCATCATATTGCAATCGTCTCCAACCTCCTGTTACCCCTCGCCTTTTCTCAGCTCCCTCAATTTAGGGTCTTACCTTAATATGGGAGACTGAGTCTCACACCATATTATGTATATTCACATATGTACTACATGCCTACCTTGTATTCCACAATAAACTCTGCTACTTTGAGAAGATCCTTTGCCAAGAAATTTCTTTTCATCTCACAGCGCAAGAGATATTGAATATTGACAAACACTCCATGGTAAGTTTCATATAACGTCCTATTTGGCCTGGGAGTCAACGGAAACTCAAATGGTATTTCTGTCTTCCCAGCTGGAATCTTACCAGGTGAGGCCACGTCCAATGTACATGATACAAGCTGAATTGGCTGAAAGATAAAAATATTAATATATGGCAGGGTTTCTCTTTTTTTTTATAAAGTAGCCCCTTAAAAATGTTTCTGAAGTACCCCAAAATGCCTATAATTTTCAAATGATCTTTTCAGGTGTGCCCCTAACCTAAGACTTCTCTCATGTACCCCTAAAAATATCTGTACCACCGGCTGGCAAATGCTGATATACATTGTATCCAATAAAAATAAATAAATAAAATAAATAAAAATAAATAAAAAATAAATAACTTATTATGAAAATGAAAGTTATACAATTAAAATATGGTTAAAAACTATTCATCTAATATTTCATATTATGAAGTCTGTTGTATAACTTTCATTTTTACAATAATTTTATAATTTTACTGTATTTTTATACTTTTTGTTATTATAGTGTAACAGTTGTCAAGTATCCAGCACTACTGTACCATCATATTGAAAAGCAGTTCAATAATTTGTGAGTGTAATAACTATGTATTTGCCTGATGATGGCTTTAAAATTCGAAATACGTAGCTACGGCAATACTGACCTCTACCGACTCATTGTGTTGCAACGGATTCCAATAAAGAGTTATGTATAATAAACACAACAGGATGTACCCAATGGAAAAAGAATCTCATACATATTAAGATACAGACATCACTCTCAAATTAACACATTAAAAAACACCAAGAAAACAAAATATCATCATTTTCAAGCATGTGACATACTGTGTGAACATGTAATAAGCATGGCAAATGCCATAATTTCCAACAATAAATATTCATTTAATGAAACATCAGTGCCTCCACACAAACAAATGATAAAATCACTGTGAATAATGAACTGAAAAGAAATGCAGCGAAGCGGTCATGGCTTCATTTTTCATACTATCCCAGCATTCACCTGGAGAAACTGAGGAAATCCATGACAAATCTCAGTCAGGTTAAGTGGTCTCCAGATTTATTTATATAGATATCACAAGATAATGAATGATACTACTATCCACTGAAGGGGTCACATGTATTAAGATCTGAATGTTGGACCTTCTGGACATGAAGCAGGAGTACTATCCACTCCACTGCAACATTTTGTCCCAAGAATGAAGTCTGCCAATGACAGTGAATGCTGAAATGAATAACTTACAAAGACATGTAACATGTGAGAATTATTCAAATGAAACCCATTTGTCACATGATAACAGATATGGCTGGTCGCAGATGATCACACTGATACCAGCAGTTGGCCATGAACTGAACACCAGAAGAGGCACTCAGTAGCAAAGAGGAACAGTACGGCAATGCTAAATGCTGATGTTCCACGTGCAGAATCTGTCCAAATGGGACCAGCGAGTTGTCATTCAGGTCCATCTGTGAACAGGTTTAGTAACTTAAAATCACCTACAACATATCAGAACATACCTTAACTGAGTTGTAGAAAGCTTCAAATATTCCTACATTTTTGGCACTTAACTGTAAGTTAACAGTGCCCTCCATGGTCAAAGAGATACCATCATGCTTTACATCAGAGCCAGAATGTACCAAAATTACGCCGGTTATTTTCTCCTGAAACAAATGTAAATATATATGAATGTATGGACAACAACCATGTAAAGTACATCTGATTTTTCAATGCTATATAGCCCAAGATACTGTCTGGATCAATAAATACCAAAAGAAGAAACTGATGCAATGACATTGCACACGCTTTCTCACATATAAGTAATCCTACATTGCCTTGGAAACACAATCAACTGCTGACANTTGATGCAATGACATTGCACACGCTTTCTCACATACAGGGTGTCCCAGGAGGAATGGACCAAACTTCGGGAGGGTGTTCCTTATGTTAAAGTATGCCGATATAACCCANAGGCAGATCATTGTTGGTTACTAAATACTGAACAAGAATGAAATCCATCTGACTGGTTACAGCTTGTTTTGACAAAATCAACTAGTGCCACAGTGTGTACTAGCATTTTCCCAAAAATACCATCTATGCAGTTCTATTTAGGGCCATCGTCTCCATAAACTGCTAAAATTTCATCATTATTAGATCTGTTTTCAAGATAATCCTTATTTTGTATTTTGGGGGCCATATGAAGGACCCCCCCACTTCTAGATCTAGGAAGTTCATATTCACTAGGCATCAACCTAAGATGGATACCTCTTGAATACTGAAGATGAGGAAAATCAGGCCAACCATTCATGCGTTAGCAAGACACCCATACATACATACAGAAACAGTTCTACCTTCTGGGATATAATGTCATGCAGTCTGTCCAAACTCAACTGACATTTCAGAGGAACATGTTGCCTCCAACTTCAGGGTCAAAGAACAGGTGATGTAGGAAACCAGCATGAAGCACGCAGAAAGCAGAGCTCTGCAATATTATTCAACGGACCGACTTCTGGTGATGATCCGCACTGATCAATCAGCATCCCACACTTTCAACTGCAGTGTTCCAATGTTGTTACAAACACAACGCAATAACGACAGTCACTTGACTGCCCAAGCAATATCCCAGTTTTTATGCGACTCAAAGGTTCATTAGCATGTTTACAGGAACCCAGTAATGGGCAATATCATAAGACAACACAGTCAACTAAACTTATGACATACTGTTCAAAACTATTTGAACTTCGTTTATCAGAAAACATTATTGCAACCATTAACTAACAACTAACTTCATGGAGCTGAGCCTTTCTTGAGAAGCAGCCAGTTGTGCAGCTACTCAAGAACTTCCCAACATTTTATGGAACTCAAAGGTTCACAAGGGCCCTCCACTGGTCCCTATTCTCAGCCAGAGCAATCCAATCCATACCACCCCATCCTATTTCTCTAAGATCTATTTTAATATTATGCACCCACCTACACTGTGGTCTTCCCAGTGGTTTCTTGCTATCTGGCATTCCCACCAATACCCTATATGAATTCCTCGTCTGCCCCATTTGTGCTACATGCCCTGCACATCTCATCCTTCTTGACTTGATCATTCTTATTATATTTGTCAAAGAGTAGAAGCTATGGAGCTCCTCACTGTGCAGTTTTCTGCAACCTCCTGTCACTTCATCCATCTTCAGTCAAAATATTCTCCTCAGCACCCTGTAATCATCATCAGCATAGACCAGCAGCTGACATGTCCCATTTAATTACTGTTGTTGTTATATTATTATTACAACCACCATTACATTTCAGTAACTGGTTCTGTTCCATCCTCAGGATAAGAAAACCAACAAAGATAATGTCCTGAGATTAACTGTACTGAAGGTTCCAACAGAGAAAGCTTGTGCTACGTCCTCTTCACCTGGAAACAAACTCAACTTCCAGAATGTAGTGACCAGTAAATATGGATAACAGACATTAAAATAACAGTTCTTAAAATCTGAACCAAGTCCACATCCTATGGATGACAAAGAATCTACCCAATGTCCAAGCCCCTAACATTTCATAATATACCATTTTATTTCATGTCAACAAGTTGTTCGAACCCACCAAACACCCCCTCCCCTTCCGAGATTGGAGGTCAACACATTTCTGGCTGTCCATAACTAACTCAACACAAATGCACCCACCCCGGATGATGGTGACAGTGTCTGCAACATCAGACAAGGCTGCCATACCCTTCACTGTATACTGCTGCTGGGGTAACCTGAACTCATATATATCAGACAGTCAGTCAGTTCTGCGATGTAATTACTTACTTGTCAACAGCATATCATACAAAATTTGCAAGAATGTTTGTAATCTATTTCCATAAAACATTTCATATTCTTGGCTCTAATTACTTATTAAACTGTCACACTGAAATTTAAATACAAATTTCACACCGCTGCAGTGTTTTCTTACTCAGTTGGAAACCAAAATTATGAGGTTTGCATGTAACAACATAATATTCACATTTCGTGGAAATCACTAGTTGAAAAGTGTACACACATAAACCATGTTCTCATATGCATACTTGTTTACTTAAAAAATAAAAACTGACTAATGATGGTGACTGCAACATATACATATAAAAGGAATGCACAATACTGCATCAATTATGCAGGTCACATACAATAAATTAAAACCATAATAATGAATTTCTAGGATATGGGAGGGGTGGGTTTCAGCCTACTTCATCAAACTACTACCTGGGTACAAAAGCAAAGTGACTAATTCTGAATTTAAAACTCTAAAAACAGCAGAAAAACGATCATTATGACTTCAACTATTGTATATCCTTAAATTCATGCAACTGCAGTGATTGGACATTTTACATCCCACTTGATAGTTTTTCCGTCAACTCATTTCGCAAGAGCTGACGAAGTATTTTGTTCATAATACCTTACGAAATTCTTAAATTATTATGAACTCTAATCACATTTTCAATTTCATTAATTAAGCAAGTGCGTTGGACCCAAACAAGCACTTAATAATTTGAAAATCTACATACCCCTTCATGATACACTTTGTTAGCCTTCTTCACCCTTATATCTAAATTTATCGCCATAACTGTTTTACAACTGAATTATCTCATTCAGTCTACAACGTCTACAACGCACTTTAAGATAATGCGTAACACATTCCGGCAAAACTACACTATGACTTAAAAACTTGATATGATGATTACCACTTTCTCAATTCACGGAAGCTAACATGTTGGCAGACATGAAGAGCGATGAAGAGCATGAAGAGACACCATCGGCGTATGATGTAGCGATCGATAGCGATGGTAGCCATCGTAGCCATCGTAACGATATAGGTTTGTCAAATACGCATACATTATATGGATGTTATGAATGAAGACTTCTCCACACAACTCATCTTGATTCTCGTGTTATCTGTGTTGTCTATGTAATTAGTACCGTTAAGTTCACGGTAGCATGTTTTGCAAATATAATTGCAATTCTAGGTTAACTTTGGATGATTAGGCAACACTGTAACTTGTCCATCACAGTTTTGTGTGCAGCGTTATAAATTATATCCAGAATTGAACGGAGAGTATAACGATTGATAACGATCTCCACTTGTCGCATGTGGTTATTCTCCAGTAAAAGCAAATATGCTAGTCATTGCGACTACAGATGTTAGCGCGTGTATCAGTTAGTTGTAAGGTCAGAGGGGCTCATTCTTAATTTAATAAGATTGTTAGTAGTAATAATAACGACGCAGCCGTACGTTTATAAAGGTGTTATAGATGAGAAAAACGTTATCGGTGACAATTTGTGCATAAAATGCCATCATTTCGTTTTCTTGGCCAAGCAATTAATGATTACAGAGAAAGAACTATTGATGAGCTAAGAGAATTAGTGCTCAAAGTTGGTGTTGTTGCATTGGTAGCAGCTGTTGTCATATGGGTTTCAATATTTCTTTATGTAGCATTTTATTACACTTACATGCCTCCAATTTCACATGTTCGACCTGTCCATCTACAATTTATGTAAGTACTTCATACATACCTAATACTTAAATCCCAAATGTAAAAATAAATGGCACTGAGACTGACATATGCCAGTGGTAGTCAGATTTGCTTTCAGTCGTTTTCAGTTCACATGTTTGTTGTCACATAGGTCATGTGAGGACAGCAAAGGCATTTGCAGTAACCCATCTGCTCACGTCCGTTTGACGAAGAAGCAGCAGCTGCTTATGGTTGGGCAGCAATACAAAATGTATTTAGATCTGGAAATGCCAGAATCTCCAGCAAATCAGAATCTTGGTAATGGCTAAAAAGAAAATACAATGTAAATTTCAGTAGCAATTCAAGCCCCATTACTTTAAGGCATGTAAGTCAAGTTCCTTTATTGGCAGGAATGTTTATGGTGTGTATTCAGCTGCACGATAAAGAAGGTGGATTGGTTGACAACTCTTGCCGTTCAACCATGTTACATTATCGTAGTTACCTTCTGCACACACTGAATACACTTATCTTCTCACCTATGATGGTGTTTGGCAATAAAGAAGAAAAGCAGAATATTGTTTTAGAACTTTTTGCAGATTTCGAGGAAGATCAGGTAATAATAATTATCATTTATATAGCTCAGACTAATAGACTTCAGTTTTTACTCATATTATTTGCACTTATTTTGCTGCATATGTAGTTCTTGATTAAATTTGTTTTAACACAGTCATCTTCATTTTTATTATTTGTCTGAAACATCTTTGAGAGTATGTTATACCTTCTTCAGTTTTGTGATTTTGTGTGCCACTGTATGTTAAAATCAGAATCTAGTAACTTTCTAATGATAATGTTAGAGTCTGTCTCGCTGTCTGGTGATGATGCAACCTAGAAAATAATTTAGCTACAGTTAGCACCTGTCACACAGTTGATACTAAAAGCTTTGTTTGAATACAGCAAAGTACCTAAAAGACACAGAATTTTAGTGCTTAGACGCTTCAAGATACATTTGTTTTCTGATGTCACTGTATAATTTTGGGAATGAATGTCTTGCTGCTATTGCAGTTCAAAAAAGGGCACTCTAAGGGCTCCCAAAAAGTTGAACATTATCACATTACTGGATAAAATGCATGGTGTGAACAATTATTTTTTGTTTTCTTTCTTTACTGTACTTATCTTGAATGGTATACTCTCTCCTTCAAAGTAGCTCCCTTCCAACTTGATGCAGTGAGTCCAGTGATGGCACCATTGTTGAACTCTGACAGTATTACAGTGCAGCCATACCATAAAATGATTGATGGCACCTCATAAACTAAATATCTGAGTCTGGTATTCTGTAATTTGTATTGTAGAATCATCCAGTGACAGACATCTATGTGGAAATCCAATCTCGACATGTGGAATTTTATTCTGCTACACTCTATGTCCATGCCCATTTCACTGGATTACGCTACTTCATGTTTCATTGGCCGATGCTTTCTGCTGCTGTCGGGATAACATCAAATTTGTTCTTCATTGTGCTAGTATGTTTGTTGTCATGGTGGCACTTACATCGACCACATGGAGATGAAAAAGAATTTTTGTATAGTAGTGTGAGAGGTGAAATTGAAGCAGAACTTGAGACCAAGAGGAGGGAGGCCTTCATGCTCAGAGAACCTGATGGTATGCCACTGTATGAAATGTTTATACTGACATCATGAAAAGAAATCTTATGTTGTGACATGTAAAGCACTTTTTTTCTGGGAATTTGTAATGTCTATAAATTGTGAAATCTTGCAGTCAGCCTGTGCACACACACATATCATAACACTGCATACTGGTATTAGATGACAGAACACACAATGCGTACTTGGTTTGTACTGAAATGACTTTTGCATCAGAAGTATGAAGAAGAAATTAGATTTAATTCTGCGTTTTTTAAGTCTTCAGTCTAATTATGAATGGGAAGTTCAAACATTTCCTTGGTGGTACATAATTTTTGTTCTCTGATTTTTGAACTTTTATGCTCGTAAATTTTGTACAATTATTGTGTTTCTGAACATTAAGATGACATTTCAGAGACTAAATTTCATATCTGTCTTCAGTTGGGCCAAATCGATAGAGCTGGTACCTATCTCTGGACACCAGCACCAACACAAGCAAAGCACAAACCACAGATAGAGACTAGTTCTATCGATTGGGCCCAACTGAGTAGGTTCCACTTGAAGGCAGAGACATAGTTCAGTCTCCGAAATGTTGTGCATTTTAAACAAAAACAGGACGATTGATAATATCCAGGAACACAGTAGTTGTATTTAATATACACAGACTTTTATATTTTTTCAATTTTGCATGACCACATTGTCAGAATTCATGATAAGCTTGATTGAAAAGAATATCTTTTTCATCTTTACTGGCACTATAACCCTGTGTGGGTCTTGGCCTCCTCCATAGGTTCCTGTCCAGCGCATTTGTTTTTCTACCTCATACTCCAAAGCTTCTCAGATCTTTGAGACACTGTCCAGCCACCTCAGGCTGGGTCTTACAGCCTAAATAAACATCACCACCCTATGTAATTATTACAGTCCACAGTTAACCATATACATGAACACAGACTTTACATACTGATTTTAAAATAATTCTTATAAAGTGATAAAATAGGTTTTCATGGCAGTGTACATGAAAATTCATGGAGGTACTTCTACTGTGAAGATGGTGGTAGTAGGTTCCTTTAAAACACTGGAAATTTTCTACCATACTGTACAGTGTGACATCCCCACAGACAAAGTGTAACATTTCATTTCAAACATGCTGCAAACTCACTATCTTTGTCCATTTTCATTAGCATGATATGGTAGCTTAGAACAGTCTTCGCAGTAGTAAAGTTGCCCCTATGCTTAATTAAGCACTATAGCCTTAGGATGTATGGGTGAGTGAAGGTATGGCTGTACCCATTCTTAACAGAACTAGACAGAATTGAGTGGTCAGGTTTATTTCTAGCCACTTTGCCTCTATCACCCCATATTTGGTCTGGACACTGTTAAGAGGAGAACAATCTCTTTCCCCTGCCAGAAATTGAACCCCAATTCTCCAGTAATCCAGCCTGTAGCCAGTCACTATACCAAGGCATCCTGGTTTTCAGTCAGGAGAAAGGACAACAGAAAAGTGGAAACCATACATTTGTTTATTTCTCATCTGCTAAAGTTTTACTGCTACACACTGTACACCAAAAGGCAGGGTAAATATCCTACAGACTGACCCTCAGGCTGTTCTGCTTCCCTCTCCAGTACATAGAAATGTTGGTAGTGAGAAGCTTTGGGTTGGCTGACATATGCCAGAGGAATACTGGCGGAAGCATTGAGCACTCCCACCTCCACCATCCACTGGACTTCTTTCCATGGTTCCAGTATAGTTGGCTCCAAAAGTGAAAAATGGAACACAGCCTTAAGCTGCTTTCTTCTGTATTACTAAGTATGCACCCTTGAGGATAACACTGTAACTGTTGAAACATGTCAGGACAATGAATTTAAACTAATATCAAAAACATGTATAGTAATTGACTGTACCATGATAATGAACGATGAGAACAATTCAGTTGTGAAGTTAATGTACACACTGAGTAACCAGAGAAATAATTAACCATGTTTTGGTAGAGTTGTTAGTGTATTCTGGGACTAACATTTCCATGTTGTTTTGAAACAGATAGTTCATTTGAGGATACCAGCACGTTGGATGATAGCAGCAACAGAAATGGTGATAGTGATGCAGAACTGCCATTACAACTGAGCAGTCGACAGTTTATTGCAGACTTGCCACAGTCTGGAAGTTTCCAAATAGTCAGTGGTCCTGATGACAGCTGAACACAGAAACAAAGTCTCTTCTGTAGGTTTGTGCCCTTACAAGATGTAAGCTTATACAATGCAGATCAGGCTCTCTACATGTATGTATATGCACAAGCAGTACATTCCATTTTTTACTGATAATTTTTAGTATAAAATTTCATGTCAGGTTTTTTATTAAAGCTTTTAATTATCCAGCCATTAAGTACATCACATGATAAATTCTAGTCATGAAGGGTTTGTTGTGTTCTTCATTGCAAACTACAGTAAGCTTCAAACAAAGACAATTCAATGAAACACACTTTGTATGAAAAGTACCTCGTTTCAACTTCTAACTGATACAAAACAAATGGCACTTTACATGTTTTCTGAGGTCAGAAGGGGGAGTTTGGCCAGTGTACTGTAACAAAGAGAAATGACCTGTATATCTCAAATAACTTGTACTTTCATGAGATAATGTTAAGATGATGTGATGGTTGGCTGACATCACCAACTACTGAGCAAGTGACTCACAAATGCACTTCAATTTTGTGTCAGTTTATGCACAAGTCATCTGTCAATATGCTTCCCTTCTAAGTGGAATATTTGTGCAATGGATTGCAGCAGAATCAGAATTTGTATGATAAAAAGAAATGAGTGATGGTGTATAACAAATTTGGTGGATTAGAGTGTGACTAAAGGGCAACCTATGAGTTTGAACATGTGACTTGAACACATATTTTATACAGAAAATTTATTCATAAGTTTTGAGGCTTTTGCTCTGTGTTATTTTATGGCATCTATAATTAGAGTGTGTAGCACTGAATGGTTAGCAGCTACATAACTTGTGCTCTTTGGCAAGTACAATTAGAATGCTCACGTCAAGGAGGATGAGATGGGCGGGATGTGTGGTATGAACAGGGATAAGAGGAATGCATATAGAATATTGGTGGGAAAGCCAGAAGGAAAGAGACCACTAGGAAGACCAAGACATAGGTTGGTGTGTAATATTAAAATGAATCTTGAAGAGAGAGGATGGGGTGGAATGGACTGCATTGATCTGGCTCAGGATAGGGACTGATGGAGGGATCTTGTGAACATGCTAATGAACCTTTGGGTTCCATAAAATGTTGGGAGGTTCTTGAGTAGCTGCAAAACTGGCAGCTTCTCAAGAAGGGCTCAGCCCCATGGAGTTAGTTTAGTTTACTGGCAACTGAGCCAGCATCTTTTGTATATATTATATCATGCATGGTCAACGCGTCGATCGCAGGATGATTTTTGGTCGGTCTCATAGGCCTATAAGGAAATTATACGTGAAAAGCATGTAAATTAACTTGTAATATAATATGATTATATTCAGATTTTGAAGGGAAAATACATGTCAAAGTAGTCTGTACTTTCAGTGTATGTTGCTTTTGCAACAAACATCATGTGTTGTGTTATTTTTACCAATATTTTTGCTTAAAGTGAGGTACAACGATAGGAGGGGGTTGTAGATCACTGGCAGTTTTGACACTAAAAAGTCGATCACAACCTGTTTGATGTTGGACATGCCTGTATTATGCAAGCTGGAAGGTCACAGGTTCGATTTCTGATGAGATCATTGGATATTTTGTTCAATTGACCCAATCATTCCAGCCACACTATGGCCCTGAGGTTGACTCAGCCTCTAACAGAAATGAGAACCAGCAATCTTCCTGGGGGTAAAGGTGAAGCCAGCGCATAAGACTGACAACCTCACTGTCACCTGTGAGCCGATTGTCTAGAAAATGTGGGTGCCTCAACGTCTCACAGCCCTATGGGCCTCTCCGTGGCCTGTTATAGGGATAGCTTTACCTCATTACCTTATCATATGGAAATGTATCCTTAGAAATTATGAACCTGTAAAGTCGAATTCTGTTATAAATAATAAAAAAAAAAGAGACGCATGAATGTGAACATTGTTTTCTTCTGAGATGTGACGCCGTGTAGACTGGTAGAAGGGTACCAACATTTTGAAGAACCTGCTGCCTTCATCTTCTATCCTGAAGGTGCAGGCAGTATATTCCTTGCAAACGTTGGATCCCTTCTGCCAGACTATTCTGCATCACATCTCATCATATTCATCACTGTGGGAACCTCAAGCCTCACATGAATTCATTTCTATTTTGCACTTCTACGCTCCTGTTTACCACTTTTCTCTGTTTCTGGACCTCAACTGTATGAATTATAGAAGAGAAAATCAGGAAGGAATAAGAAACTAAAAGATTCAGACAAATTTAAAGTTAAATACATTCAAGGCCGCACCATAGCTCAAGCGGTTAGTCGCTAGCTTCCCAACCACGGCAGCCCAGATTCAATCCCGGGTCTGGTCAAGTGGGATTTGTGGTGGACAAAGTGGTGCTGGGGCAGGTTTTTTCCGAGTACTTCAGTTTCCCCTGCCAATCTTCATTCCACCAATTACTCCACAATCACCCTAACCTATCTTCTGGGGCTGGAACAATAGGCCAGAAGTGGCTGTAGTACAAGGGACTTAGTCCCACCCCACTAGCAATAAAAAAAATACATTCAAAGATAAATTAATAATAGAATAAGATGGTATGGATGTATTTTAAGAATAAATGAAGATGGAATTCCAACGAAGCCATCAAACTTTAAATTAAACTAAAACATTCATGAGAAATGCCAAGATTATAATGGGGATCAACAAGTTAGGAAAGATGTTGCACAAAAGGAAGAACATGGGAAAAACTGAGAAGGAACCAGTTTCCTGTGGAATAGATCTATAGAAACAGCAATACATACCGCAAGCCTCGGACATAGTCTGAAAGGAACTGTTAGGCAAACTCAAGGCAATCTGCTTGCAGCAATGAGAATACACATGCACACAGCTCTCAAGGGAAGGTTCTCTCCATCTGTGTAAAGTAATTTATTTTAACTCAGTTGTCTTAAATAATCATAATATATTATTATGTTGCTATATGTTGACAGTATGAATCCTATAGAAAGTAACTAGTCCTGAATAAGCTAGAAATGTGTGAATGAACTGTTGGCATACTGTTATATGTAAATATCTTGCAAAGTTCACTCACAGCTGTGCACTCCATTTTCTGTCATATATTGTCTGTGTTCAAAACCTTGTACACTGACACACCATAATTTCAGTACCTGATTTTCCTTATAGCTAAGCAGGCATATGAACAGTATTACAGTATTAATGCTACCAGTTTATATCATCAATGACTACAGAATATCTCTGGCAAGAATGCTTTGTATCAACACGTTAGTGCACACAACTAAATTTGTCACAACCACAAATAAAAAAACATGTCATGAAAAGCCTTACGGAACAGCAGAAACTATTAACATTCATATCAGTATATAGTTTCATGTATGTTTCTTTGTTTTTATATGAGAAATTATTACAATGTAAAAAAGAAGAGAGTACAATGATAGAATGGTATCAGACTTGAATTTGAAAAGGAAAGATACCTATGCGATATCCCAGAACAAGATAGTTCAACCAATTACAGGTAATGATCCATTTATAATGACAGTTGTATTCCAAATAAAAGTCGAAGGGGGCGAAATTACATAAATCAAACATAATAAAATACTATAATGAAGGTTTTCTTAAACCCTTAAAGAGTGACAGGTGTACATGGATACAGCAGGTTGCATGGCTAGGCCAAATTTTCACTTCACCTCTCATATTCCTCCTCTACTCCCCTTTCCCCCACCTCTCTTGATTGGCCAGTAAGCAGTCTGCATTAAAGTGAGTGTTATAAATTGAAACTAGTCTAAATTAATCGAGCAAATCAAAATGAAATCATATATTTCTTTTTTAATTTGATTATAAGGAGGAGTACCTGTACTCAAAGATATCAAGAATCTGAAAAACAGTCAGCAAGACACCAAAAAGGAAAGACTGTGGCAAGAAAGCAGAGATTGGAGAGTTTCTAACCATCGACCCCTAGAATATGGAAACAACGCCAAAAGAAGGAAAATGCAAAGAAGTTCTCTATATGTGGCCGATATGTGGTTTCATAGTCTGAACACATCAGTATCTCTTGTGTACATGCCAAGGGCAGTGTTCTCGTGACAATTCAGACATCAGTGTCAGAAAAACTAATGGTGAAAACAGCAAAGGCTTCTTTTGGGTTGTAACACCATGCAGTTCAGCTCGGACTGAGCTGAACACAGCTTTCTGGCTGCTTCTGCTAGTTTCTTGCTTTGCTTACTCTTCGACACTTAAGATGGATGTGGTACGTTCCTCCGGGATGTCACGCTATATAACCCAGAAGACCAGACTCTTCACAGTCACCGCTGTGAGAACCTCAATCAAATCTAACATTGAAAAATTGTTTAACTGAGATATCCCCACTCCCACAGAAACATATAAAGTGAGAGAAATTAAATTAGAGTGGAAATAGTGGTTTGGTGCTCTGAGATTTGAGCATTGAAACTGGACAAATAAGTTCAAATTGCGGTCCTTTGGTAGGTGGGCATATAACATACCACCTGAACCTTCAGAATGCACTTCTATACACTGCCTTCCTCTTCAACGTAAAGGTGGAGGTACACACCTAGCAGACTACACTGCCTTCCTCTTCAACATAAAGGTGGAGGTACACACCTAGCAGACTACACAGGGTCAGCCCAAAAAGGCCACAACACTAACCTCTGCTGCCATGAAAACGTTGAACCACTTATCATTTTTTGCAGCGTGTGCAGCCAAAATAAGAATGTCTAGTTTTCATTGCCTATATGAATTTCGAGAAAACAGGATGCAGGCTTGCTAACATTAGGGGGGAGCTTACATTTTCTGTACCATGGTTATGTTCTAGAAAAATAAAATGTAATGGCAATATATATGTTAAATTACACAATTAAATCTTCTGGTATGTTCCCTTTCTCTGTTCTTCCATTCAAGGGCAATGCTGGGATTTTTTCTGGGGGGGATAGACAGAAAATTTTTTTCAAAACTTACTGTCATGCCATTTAAGGCCATTTTCACTGACTGCCTCAAGAAATTCAGGATTAAAAAGTAATGCTTTCAAACGCTGGTATCAATATTAGCGTCACTTCCTTCTTTGTTTCAATTTTGATTTTTTTTGCTAAGATTCTTTGGGTGGGGGCAGATGCCTGGCTAAACATTTACTGTATACTACTATCATAATTGCGAAGGCCGTGCCATAGCTCAGGCAGTTAGTTGCCAGCTTGCCACCGCAGCGGTCTGGGTTCGAGCCAAATCTGGTCATGTGGGATTTGTGGCAGACAAAGTGGCACTGGGGCACATTTTCTCCGAATGCTTCGGTTTCCCCTGCCAATCTTCATTCCACCAACTGCTCCACAATCATCATCTATCACCTGGGGCTGGTAAAATAGGCCTGTACTGGCTGCAGTATCAAGTGGACTCAGTTTCACCCCACTAAGAATAAGAGAGAGAGAGAGAGAGAGAGAAACTCATACTTACCACAGCAATGGGCCTGTTGCATCATTCTTTCAATAGTTTCTGCTGTGTTTCAAAAGACCTTAAGTGCTACTGGCAAAGCTATCCCACACAAGAACTAAATGTCAACTACTCCAAATGTCGAGTGAGTGCTATGCTTGTAATCTATACTATGGCACACTGTACAGTTAAGTCAAAAACATTTTACACTGCTCTTTGCTATTTGCTTTGCACAGTATAACTGTCTGTGAAAAAAATCAACACATGGCTTTCATTACAGGTTCACATATAAAGAGTGTCTCAGATGGAGACCACTGGAAAACTGCTTTTACTTAGTTACATTCGTGCCAGTCTGTATTAAATTTGAACAATTAATGAATAACTATATTAAGCAATACATTCTTTCCAGCAGTCAGACTGTAGACACACTGGTAAGGTTATGGCACAAACATCATAGTAATCATTAATTAATCTCCCACTCTTGAGACACAGAAACTGGCTCAAAATCAACAAACTGATCGATGATGTTTATTTAATGATGCTGTCAGTAACTCAGACTACACAGCAGCAAACTGTAGGATGAAGAAATGAACTGGCAAGGATGTGAAATGTGACTTGGCACATTTGAGTTCAATTTGCTGCAGCTAACAACACAGATACAATGCTAATCATTAAGTACATCATTTCTATTAATGAATTAGAGGATATATATCTCTGGTTATCTGCAGAAGTATTGTGGGGTTTTCTGTGCAACTGCATTTATTCCCAAGCAGCCTTGGCATTTCTCACGTAGTTCCACAGCAGAGACTGGCACTCAAAGGGCTAATAATGTACTATCATGACATAAATCACTCGGGATAGTTGATATACCAGCAAAGATTCAAATTGGTTAGCTTCTTAAACAGCCAACTTGCTCAGTGTAATAATAATTTCCTTCCACTATAAGATAATGGACAGTGATTTGTGATCAGTAAATTAAATGATGATGCTCAGGCATGTCTGTCGCCAAGAACACTGTGCCAGAATCAATTTTCAGTTGTGTACCATCCACCATGCAATAATATCAAGATTAGAATTCAATCCTTGTAAAATTCGTCACTACACTACATGTTTCGGCCTACTCGGCCACCATCAGGTGTGCTGCATGGTGGACAGTAAACAACTGGAAATAAATTCTTATACCAACTGCAGACTTTATGTATCACAGCGAAATATGGTCATGAAGATGGAATACGAACTCTTCTGACAATCTGGGAATAACAAAAACCCACAAAACTTTACTCAGGATAGCTGATCCCCCTCACCAGGCTAAAATATGGTCTCAGAGCAATATTTCCTACTACTGTACACCACAATAAATGTTACTGAACATCATGGCCAAGGACATAACATGGCTCAACTATCCTGAATCAAGTTTAAGAAGTCTTCTTCCAGGCAAATACTGAGATAGTGCCTCAAATGAAGCCAGGAACACTTCCTTCAACATCCTTTTGAATCCATCCTTCAGTAATCATCATACTAAGCAAGTTGGTCCAACAGTTATGCAGCTCCTCCAGGTGAATACCAGGATAATCATTTGATGAGGCCATGGTTGTTTCTTTCCAAATCCTATACAATTCACCAGTCATCCTACTAATCAATGCTAATCTGTCTATAGATACTGACAGAGGTGTACGCACATACAAATCACCCTGCTTGCTCCTAACAAAGAGCACTGCATTACAGTATTAATCAGTAATCTTAATATAGTCAGCACAGTATAATCTCATACAAAAATGTAATTACCACAAAACATAAGCTGTTTAACAATATATTGAAGCTTCAGCTTACATGTACATAGAAGAACTCACAGACCGTCTTTCAACTGACTATAAAAGAGACTGTGCAATATACACCGAAAGCTTAGGAGATCAAAAACTACTTTATGCCCTCATATCCACTACTTAAAAGAGACATTCTGAAAATTCCTAGTATAAGACAGATTATTAAATCAATAAAATTCGCTATCTATAAAAGGTTTGATTCAATTGTCTGTTTTCTTAACCCTTTCCATGCTACTGACATATATATATATCCTCTGACATGCTAGGTTAGGTTCATTTGGGTTAAGTTGGAGGAATACATACATGTTTTTGGCCACATCTCTATTCTAAATTAGCTACAGTAACTCAGCATGGAAAGAGTTAATTAAATGTCATAATGAAAATCTTATACAGTAAAACCTGCCAGGAATGGAGCCTCGATTAAATGGAAAACTATTTTATCAAAAAGTTTCTCTGGTCCCATGAAAAGAATGGGAACCAGATGTAAAATTAAGATTTGGGGTTTTGATGGTCATGAAAATTGAGATTATTGTCATCTGGTACATGACCATATCTTAACTAGATTCAAAAGGCTGTATTCCACAATGTGGTGCACAGGATTACCAACTGTGTTCCTTGTAGTTCATTCACCTTCACATCCTGGTCACTACTTTACCTCCTACCCACCCATGCCAAGGGAAAGAGCTCCCAGCAGCCATCAGACAGGGGGCTGAGTGGCCCCAGGGCCAGTCTAAATACTGCAGAGAAGATAATTTCTTGGTACTCCTGGGAACTGAACCCTGATTCCTCAGCCATCCAACTCACCACTACACCAAATGAGCTATTCTGGCTGCACTGTATCTAAAAATACCTGTGCTAATTAAAGCAAGTTTGAAGTGAAAAGATGGTGTTCATGTCATCGGGGATGCTCAAATCAGCAGGTTTTACTGTATGTCAAAAATGTTTATATATTTTCTTGCGTAGAAAGCTATTAATTACTAAAAGAATGAAAAATATACTCCAAAAACTTCATCTATTTGGACTCGACATCAGATATCCTCATTTCACACATCTCCAAATAATTACAAATATACATGCATAAAATAGCAGCACTGCAAGTGTTCATTATCACTTGTGCAACTGCTTTCAAATAGGGAACAGTAAGCTTGGTCCACTGGGACACAACATGAACATAACACGTAAGAAAGTAGCACAAGCTTTACCAACAAATCCTGTTCTTGTATATCTCTTTAACTTCTCAAATTTCGTCCAAACAGGATGATGCAAATGTCCCTTTGCAAACAATCACACAGAGTTCACACCACACCTTCACAGATGCGTAGTATTTTAAAAAACAAGCGACAGCAGTTTAAATGGTGGGGAGTGATATCAGTTCTTCTTTGGCAGTCTACAGAAATCATGCTTGTGGCACATAATCCAAAGTTTAACTTGCAAAAACTGTGAAAAAGGGAAATAACATTACACCATGATTAGAACAGAAGCCCATTCTTGACTATCTGAAACTTTATGTCAGCTGGATATAGATTTCATATCACAATAATTGAAATGGTGTGGGGAAGTCATGGCAAAAGAAATTTAAACTAAATGTGTTAGTCAGAATTTGATTTGTTTGTGTTGTGTAAACAACACAGCAAACCACGAATACACACAGACAATACTAAGAATCTCTTCTCTCAAGATAGACAGGCGGCACAAGAGCAGCCGCCTCCAAGAAAGACAATAGGAGAATTGACACGGACCTGCATGGTTTAAAAATTTTAATCTTAAACAACAAAGTTTTTAAACAACTTTAAAAATTTTAATACCAGGAAGGCTGCTGTGACTGTGAAAAATTTGAATATTGTGTACACTGTGTATTTCAGACATTATATGTGTAGGTACGTGGTGCAATCCAAAAGTTCCCGAAATATATTAATAAAAACTATTACATCTTACCTAGATCTTATTCTGCACCATCACCTTCAAAGTAGTCCCCTTGGGAGCGCATACACCGATCCCAGCATTTCTGCCACTTTTCAAATGCATCCTGGAAGTCTTTCTTTGTTAGGGTGTTTAGTACCAACTGTGTTTCCGCTTGAATTTCCTCAACTGTATCAAATCTTCGCCTCTTCAACTTGATTTTCATCTTGGGGAAGAGGAAGAAGTCGCATGAAGCTAAGTCTGGCGAGTACAGTGGGTGGGGAACAACTGCCATCTTGTTTTTAGCCAAAAGTTCCTGCACAATGTAAGCCCTATGCGGTCGTGCGTTGTCATGGTGGAGTACCCAGTCATTCGTGCGCCACTTCTCTGGACGTTTTCTCCTCATGTCCTCCCTCAAACGCCTTAGAACATCGTGATAGAACTCTTTATTGACTGTCTGACCAGGAGGGACGAACTCCTTATGAACAATCCTTTCAATATCAAAAAAACAGATCAACATGGACTTAATGTTGCTCTTTACTTGTCAAGCTTTTTTTGGCTGAAGTGAAGAAGGGCTCTTCCAGTGCGACGATTGCTGCTGGCTTTCAGGGTCGTAGCCATAAACCCAACTTTCGTCACCAGTGACAACCTTCAAAAGAAAGTTTGGATCCTCTTGAAGCTGTTGCTGAGGTTCCCTGCAGACTTCCAAGCGATGCTGCTTCTGTTCATTTTGCAGCAGTCATGGCACAAACTTCGCCGCAATCCTCCTCATGTTCAGTTTCTCTGACAAAATTCGTTGACATGTACCATAACTTAGTCCCAAGGTGTTGCAGAGGTCTTCGATGGTCAGTCGACGATCTTGCAGAACCAGATCCCTATCTTTTGCGACATTTTCTGGTGTTTTGCCAGTTAACGGCCGTCCTGAACGATTGTCATCATCAGTCAATGTTCGGCCATTTTTAAAATGCTTATACCAGTTGTAAGTTTGTGTCTGGCCTAAACTGTTGTCACCAAAAGCTTGCTTCAACATTTGGTGCGTTTCTGCAGCGGTTTTCCCAAGTTTGAAACAAAACTTTATACAGACATGCTGCTCTCTCAGGTGAGCCATCGCAAAACTGCAGACTCATGGAAACACAACAATGGAAATACGTTCACCAACAATAAACCCAACCACTCAACTCGACGCCGCTTGCCACACTGATTCAAGAAGGATGTGTGAGGAGATACCTAGCGGTATTTCGATGTACTCATAACCATTCGCACGCAAAATTCAAATTTCAGAAACTTTTGGATTGCCCCACGTATATAATTTAACACCTATTGTAATAGTAGTTTCCGGAAAAAGTACTGATGCCCTCTGAGGATGATCCATAGGGAACAAAACATATAGGGGTGATGAGTTTTCAAGTGATAATACTTAAATAGTCACATTGGACGGTGCTGTTTTTGTCTCTGTTAGAAATTTCAATGTATTTACAATTAATACTGTAAGGTGAAATATTGATATCAAGATGCTTCTCTGCATGACTCTTCTCCATTCTCAGTAAGAACACATCAAAGGATGCAAGTGTCTCACCGTAGTCAAGAACCCTAACAGGGTTCAATGCTATGATTAAATAGCTTGGCTGAGGCAGCTAACCACAATGCTTGACATGGCTTACTTCAGCCCTGAAGACAGAAGCTGTCTGTTCCTCCAAAAACATTGGAAACCTCTACCAAACTACATAATATTACATCTCTGAAGATTGTAGTCTTAAAACACTGAACATAAGTGCAGATGGTTTGTCATGTGGCCCACTCTTTAATGATTTGGGCCTTTCAACAGTGGAAGCATACATAGTAACTTCTGGGATATTTACTTGGCTTGTCAAGAAATGGAACTATAAGGTTCATCACCGTGTTCACAAAAGCCAGCCATTCAACCCTGCCTAATGCAAGTTAATCCAGACAGCATAAAGCCTTAGCATATCAAGTGGCTTAATACTTTATGCAATGATCATATAACCTATTTCTTTAAGATTTCTTTTAATATTATAATCCAGTTCATTCCTAGACCTACAGAATGGTCTTTTCCCTTGAGATGTGAAGTAATGTTACATGTACATTCAGGTCCCAATAAACCCATTCACCTGCTCATCCATTACAAACATAAAACCAGGATCAACAAGTGTAAAAATTTTTTAATATATCCATTAATATTTTCATAGAGGCATCCACTATCAATGAAAGCAACCTAAAACTTAGGCATGATCCTTCAGAACCCTTCATCATGGCATGGCAACTGTGGTTCACTGCAGCAGTGCATTTTGGGACTGCCAGCACAGGGAGATTCTTTTATTATTCACAGAACACAGGAGGACCCCGCACATGGCAATCCTTTATGGTTTTCCCTCATTTAACATTCAGCTTCATTGTTCTGAAATCAATAATCTCAGGATTTTATTTCCTTCACTTAAGTATTTTCCTAGTTTAGCATTCAAATCCGTATCACCACAAAGAAACCTTAGATGGGGGTTTCACTGTGTTATGAACTGACAGACAACCAGGCTCGTGTTTGAACTGATGTTTAACTGCATGAGCTCTGTCTCTTCTAAGACATTTTTATCACATTTATCATGGTAACATGAACAAACGTCAAATTTTAACTCACCATTTATACTCTATTTTCTTTACTGCACGACACAATTTCGATTCTGTTGAGGCATTGAAACTCTATTCAAATCACGCTCTATTTCATCATCGTCCTCGATCCTGAAAAATAAAATACATGATCCACTGAGCAGGTTTGCCTATCAACATTGCTCTGACTTGTATTTGGGAGGTGATCAGTTCAAATCATATCTGGAACACCAGCCATCCTGACTGAGGTTTTCTCTGATTTACCTCCCTTGAGGCAAATGTCATGGCACTGCCTTCAGTAGGCCATGACTATTTCTTTCCAAATTCATCATGCGTCAATCTGCCTGCCACTTGACATTATACAGTCTGGATACTGACAGCAAGGTAAAATAACCTTGTCTCTTGGAAAGCACACAAATTTAATGATGGGG